TTGTACTAGTGATTAGACTTCCCACAACTGAAGCATAGAGAATCTTTTGCATATCATTTCTTTCAATGTTTTTATTAGGGCCCTGTTTAAGGCTACATTTGTCTCCCTTGGCTATAAGGGTATCTCTTGGTTTACTATCTCCTTAATGTCGAATTTATCTAAAACTTTATCGATATAGCTCTCTTGTGATAACCTTATGATATCATGAGAACAATCTCTTAGTATCTTAATACCTAATACAAAATAGGCTTCACCAAGAATCTTTCATTTCAAAATTCTTTGTCAAAAATATTTCAGTTTCATGCAATAAGCCTATTTCGCTGCTAGCAAGCAGTATATCATCGACATATAACACCAAGAATATATATTTACTCCCACTAAACTTATGATAAAAACAATCATCAACTATATTTGCCTCAAAACCATATAAGGTAATAACTTAATGGAATTTGTGATACCATTGATGGGAAGCTTGTTTGAGACCATAGATGGATTTCCTTAGTTTGCATACCATAGACTTTGAGTCACCAGACACAAAATTTTCTGGTTGCATCATATAAATCGTTTCTTCAATGTCGCCATTTAGAAACGCAGTTTTAACATCTATCTAATGGAGCTCTAAATCATAATGAGCTATGAGTGTCATTATTATTCTAAAATAATCCTTTGAAGAAATCAGAGAAAAGGTTTCTTTGTAATCAATGTCTTCCTTTTAAGTGAAGCCTTTAACAGCTAAACGAGTCTTATATCTCTCGATATTACCTTTGGAATCTCCCTTGGTTTTAAATATCAATTTACAACCAATAGGTTTCACACCTTTAGGTAATTCAACGAGATCCCAAACATCATTGTCTTGCATAGATTTCATCTCACCCTTCATGGCATTAATCCACTTTTGAGAGTTAGAATTGCCCATAGCTTGACAGAAATTGATTCGATCATCCTCTGTTAAACCAATGTTATCCTCATGTTCTTAGAGAAACACAATATAATCATTAGGAATTACACTTCTCCTTTCTCTAGTGGATCTCCTTAATGACACTTCTTGAGGTTGTTGAGCTTTCTCTATGGGTATTTGAGGAAGAACCTCAATATTGTCTTATGCTGGGACAATGTCAAAAATAACTCCATGATTGTCACCTATTAATGGGGTAGGTATTAGAATAGTAATAGCCACGAGGACTTGATCATTGTCAATGACAGGTTCTGATGTGAATCCAGCAGGGTAAAATTGAAGACTAACAATCCCAAAGTCATATGATAAAGAAGAAGGATTAATGGACTAAAATTTAAGTAGTTTAGGGCTGAATAATTAAATAAGTCAATTATCTTATTTTTTTAATGTAACTTTTGTTTTATTAATTTTATTAAATAAGTTAGATGACTTTCTAAGTTACCTAGACCAACATTTAGTGTTTTAGGCTTAGTGGAATTTAATGAGTTAATGGGCTAGTGAGGAGTTAATTCTAGTGGTTATTAAGTGTTAGTGGGAAATTAGTGGGAATTTATGTCATCTTACCCATCTAAGCTTATATAGGAACCATTTGTAAAGTTTGAGAGGGGAAAAAATGAATTATTCGGAATTTGGATATTTTTCCAATTAAGAGGATTTTCTCTCTCTAGGTTCTTAAGAACTACTTTTGATTCTTATCCTTGAATTTCCTAATTCAAAGTCGCGAATCTTCCTAAACTTATCAATCTTTAGGGATTGTGGCGTTGTTCTTCCATTTTTTTACCTCAATCCATATAATTTTTTCTTTTAATTTCTTAATTATGAGCTTTCCAACCTAGATAGATCCGTAAAACGAATCCATCCCTCATGGGTTCATATCATTTGGTATCAGAGCTTCGACTCTAGGTTTGGAATGGAAATGGAAATTTACTATACAAGATGTTTGGTTGACGACTCTCTATTCTTGGTCGCAGTAGATGAATTCAATTTCAGAAATGTCGTGAGCAGCAAGGCAGTTGAGAAATTATGTCTACCCACTACAAATGGACAAGAAATGATTAAATTCTCTATTGGAAAATATGAAGATGAAGTTCTATTAGAATGAGCCGTTCTGGGTTTAAAACAGGTCGTTCTGTTTTTAGAACGGGCCGTTCTAAATTCAGAACGGCCCGTTCCAGAACGCCATGCTTTTATTTTTTTTTATTATATCTATATTAATAAATATATAATAAATAAAAAATACAATAAATTAATATTCATTTATGAATAAAACTAACAAAAAAAATCAAATAAGATAAGACCTTCCAAAATATTTCTTTGATTTGAATTTATCTAGTTCAAAATCTTGATTAAAATGCCGCAATGTATTTCAAAAATTGAAAATAAAATTCAGGGTTTAGGGGTACTTCCTTAAGAACATGTTGTTATTGTTGGGGTACATCGTCAATGACTTTAAGGAAAAATACTGTTTCGTTTTATCCTTGACTGTATAATGTCAATTTGGTAGTAAGTGATTTACTCCAGTTTGACTAACAATGAAATAAAAATTGTTACCATTGTCCTTAGTGATACACTGCATCATCCTTAATGATATACTGTATAGCCCAAATGTTTAGCGACTGAAGCTATTAATCCTCATTAACAATATTACTAAATCTAGTATTTGAAATGCTTTGTATTTTCCCTAAAAAAATGCTTTGTATTTTGGTTTTTTTGTGCACGAAATTCTGGACCAGAACGGCCCGTTCTGAAACCAGAACGACCCGTTCTGGTTACATTGTTGATGTGTTAATTTTGGACCTGGAACGGCCCGTTCCAGGTGCAAATTTTACACACCAATAATGTAACAAGAACGGGCCGTTCTGGTTTCAGAATGGGCCGTTCTGGTTCTAGGTGTATTCAAGTATTTTTTGATCCACCTACGTGGCATCCACCTGGCATCCACGTGGCCACCAGTTAACTCCGTTTAAATCATTTAGACGGAAGTCCCAAATTGGAACGATTTAAATTATTGGGGACCAAATTGAAACCCGAAATTAAAGTGGGACTAAATTGAAATAAAAAAACATTGTAAGGGACCAAAAGAGGTATTTAACCTATTTTTTAATGTAATTTTTGTTTTATTAATTTTATTAAATAAGTCAGATGACTTTCCAAGTTACCTAGACCAACATTTAGTGTTTTAGGCTTAGTGGAATTTAATGAGTTAGTGGGCTGGTAAAGAGTCAATTCTAGTGATATTAAGTGTTAGTAAGAAATTAGTGGGAATTTATGTCATCTTGCCCATCTAAGCTTATAAATAAGAACCATTTGTAAAAGTTTGAGGGAGAAAATGAATTATTCAGAATTTGGATATTTTTCCAATTGAAAGGATTTTCTCTCTCTAGGTTCTTAGGAACTACTTTTGATTCTTATCCTTGAATTTCCTAATTCAAAGTGGCGAATCTTCCTCAACTTATCAATCTTTAGGGATTGTGGTGTTGTTCTTCCATTTCTTACCTCAATTCATATTTTTTTTTCTTTTAATTTCTTAATTATGAACTTTCCAACCTAGATAGATCTGTAAAACGAATCCATCCCTCTAGGTTCATATCAATTCCTCTACGATAAATATTACGAATTTTTGACTTGGACATACTTGGAGATAAAAAAAATGAAATAATACAAGTTGGAAAGGCTTCTGCTTGCATAGGGTAAGTGGTATATGGTTGTGATTTTAAAAAATAAATCACCCATCACAAATACATTTTTTTACAGACGAATAATTATTTTTTTCATACAAATTTATGTCATAACTTTTATTAGTCCCTATAAATTATATTTTTCAATTTAACTAAGTTATTCAGAGTTTGATTATAATGTTGCATATGAAATATATTATGTTAGGAGTGAAATCTCACCATGTGTGCACTCACAATCTTTGATAGATTAGTGATTGTTTCTTACGATGAATACTTTGTACCTAAACCATGGTTACTAAAAAAAAAAATATATGCAAGTTAGCAATTTTTTTTATATTTTTTCATCTATTATATTTTATTTTAAATCATCTCTATAAAATTCAATGTTTCATTTTTATCCCTATGGTCAAATACTATCAAAAAGACATCACATCAAAAAGACATTAACTTGTTGTTATCATGATGATGTCATCGACTGTCATGTTGACGAAAGATGACATAAATGATAATGTCATCATGTTACATGTAAGCATAATATACCACATCAACAATAATATCATGTCTTCAATATAGAAAAATGATTAATGAAAAAAAATAAAATTTACGAGGAAAAAAAATTAAAATAAAAAGATTATATGAGGTAGAAAGATGAAAGAAAAAGTTACATAAGCTTCAAGATAAAAAAGGATATTGGTAGGTATAAAAATATATTTAAGTCTTTAATAATATGATGTAATTTAAAATTAATATAAATTAAATAACAAAAATATTTTTTTCTAATAATTCCTTTTTCTCACATTTTTCTTCATTTATTTATTGTTAAACACTATGAGATCTCACTTACACATTGCATAAATACTTTGTTGATCTCTTACTCGTCTCACATCATTCTTTTTTCTGTTATTTTTAACATGAATGTCCCTCACAAGAAAAACAAATACACATTTCGGCCTGAATTATGGTCATCCCTAGTCTGTCTAAGCTGTGGCCACTTTGTGAGTTGTTTTAACTGCCTAATAAATACTAAATCATGACAATGTAATTTTTCTATTTGGTAATGATTATTGTGGGGAATAATTGTTTTAGTAACATTTTATTTTCAAAAATGAATGTTTGATGATAAGAGAATAAAACAATTGCATGTGTCATGATTTGACATATAATAAGTTAGTTCTAAGTTATTAGTACATATCATTACTTAGAAGATGATACTTAACTCCAATAATTAAATTATAAGATAGAAAATTTATGGAAAATTATAAATTAACAAAAAGAAATTAAGAACAATTCAAAATCAAATTCTTAAAAAATTGAGGGACTAAAAATTTAATCAATCCTTTTATTTTGCATATAACATTCATTTTCGTATATTGCTGTTTTAATGTACAATATCATTGAATTTATAGGGTGAAAAATGCTAGAAACACATAACAAAATTCAAAAAACAATTCGGTTGTAAAATATGCACGATTAATGTACAGATGTACTCCATATGAACTATTCCCTCTTAAAAGGAATTGCATCATGAAGAATAACACAAGATGCTATATTAACTCTTACATGAAAATTCAATCATCGCTTAGAGAAAATACTAATTAAGCTAGCAAAACTTAGGTTAGTCGGAGATTATTTCCTCCAATAGATCATCAAAAATCATGTCATCTAGCTCAAGTCCCACACATTCAGAATCAAATTGGAGATTCATCCAGCCATCATTTCTTGAAAGATCTTTGCTCACATAATAATCCAATGGTGGGTAAAGCTCCATTGTTGGTGTGTTGAGATACCAGCTAATAAGTGTCCACACTTTGGGGAGAACATTTTCTCCAGCTGGCAGTGGATGAACATGGGATAGAGAAGACAAGGGTCTAGGATAATAACTGTATGACGCCCCAAAAATCTCCAACAACCCCTCATTGATTACATCAAACAGAAGCATATGGTTGCATGGTTCACCTTCACAACTATTACAAGAGCAATAAGGATCAAAAAGCAAGCACCCCTTCATTTCTTCATATAATGAAGGATCAACTGGCTGGTTGTCAGAATACCATATCCCAAAGGAGTCATTGCCAGTGAACCCTGAGAGCTCCAAAACCTTTCTCACATAATTAAATGCAGCTTTATGACTTGCATCCACTTCAATGCATGGAATTTCGTAGTTGAAGTGCTGGCTTAGAGTTCCAAGGTTCTGAAAATTCTCAACCTCCTCATCAGGTTGAAAATTCTCAATCACCTCAGGGTGATCCTCTTCAGCCTCTTCTTGCACAGACAGATTATCCAATCCATCAGCTGACCCTGGATTTAATTCTGAGTCTGATTCTTCTGTATAACATCAGTGCTAGAGGATCAATACAGATAATAGTAACCAAGGTGAGAGTGAGGTTGTTTCCAAAAGCAATATAAATAGAATCAATAACTTTAGCCAACTACCTTCAGATTTAGTAAATTAGGAAATTTATAGTTTTTATTTTTGAAATGAAATGAACAATTCAAAATAAACTAACTAAAGTTGATCATTCACACAAACATTAAGTTAAAACTATCATTGGAAGTATAGATTTTTTCACTATTATAATTAAATATTTTAAAGTCTCCAGTTTGATAATTTTTCTATAAATTTGGTTAAAGGTTGTAAGCAAATGATACTTCCTTATTAGCTTAGTCATAATTTATTTTTTTACTTTATCCAATTAGGAATTTGTTAGTTTTAGTATTTAATATTTGTTGTAAACTGTGAAAACTGAGTTCATATTCGGAATCATATCAATTTTTGCTTCATTTTGTGAGGTAATCTGTTTCCCTTTATATCTTTTAAGTTTTCTGATTTCTTTCAAAGTCTTTATATAGACCGATTACTAGAGACAGTCTACCAAAGATCGTTTAGTGCACTAGACAACACTGTTTTATGTTCTGTTTTCTAATAGCTATATTTTTTTGTTACCGAAGCATTTCAAGTATCTGTTGTAAAGTAGGACTAAGAAGTACATGACTTCCTCCACATTGATAATGAAAAATTCCAACGCTTCACAAAATAAAATTCCATCAAATTTCGGAGTGTATGACTTATAGAAGCATCTTTATGCTAAAATCCTAAAACATTTCCAGTTCAAATATGATAACTACACTATTCTTTATAGAACAATGATATCTGGACACCCTTTAGTTACAAACACCCCATCAACTCGTTCTACCTCTTTCTTCCTGTAAAATCGTATCACCTATTATACCTCTCTTTCTTTTTGTTATCTCTTTCTTTCGTAGGTGTTAAATAGGTTATTGGGAGTCCATGAATTATTTTTGTTCTTTTTATGTAATTAAAAATATTAGACAACTGTGTGGCCAAGCACACGCATACTTGCAGACATAGAAACATGATGTGTTAGAACTAATAGGGTTGATAAAATGAAATATTCAAATACAAAAGAGCCAAATATACCTTCAAGATCAAATGCAATATCTAGGAAGCTGGTATCAGAAGAGAGGACTGAGTTTGCCTCCGCCCGCATATTAGCAGATTCTGTTTCACATCCAATTTCCTGTTCACTGTCTCTGAAGTTAGCTAAACCTTCAATTCCTATGATATTTTCCTCATTACTGAAATCAAATCCTGATTTTGAAGCACTCATGACAAGAAGTTGCTTTTGATCAGCATTCAAACTGCTTTCTTCATTTGTGTTATCAGCAAGTGTAGGAGGTAAAATATGACTATTTGAGTCATCAGTATGGTCAAACCTACTTTGCTTCTGATCAATGACACTGGTGTTGGTTGTTCTATCTTCATATTTCTTCATTGAATTCTGTGGGGATAAAAGAACAGAAAGAGGCTCCTCATTCTGGTGAAAGTAAGATTTTAAATTAGGCATTGAGAGAAACCTTTTAAAGGATTTTGGAGTCTTTAATACAGAATTTCTCTCTTCTGTTCTCAATCTCAAGTTCTCAGTCTTAGGATACTTGGCTTCACTGTTAAAACAAGTATCATATAGCTGAGAATATCTACCAGCTGATTCTCTTAAAGATGAAGTTCTCATGGGTGATGGTTGACGCTTGTTGAAGGATCTAGAATAGAGACGGCTACCAAAACCACTTGTTCTACTGTCTTCACCTTCCCCATTAGTTGTGTGATCTTTGGATTGGTCATGCATCAACTTCTTTACATTTTTGGTAAACTTTCTTCCGCGAGGAATTTTGTCAAGTATAGCATCCATGGTAATGCGATTCTTTTCATTTCTTCCCTCTTCAATTAAGTGCTTCATTTTCTTTCTAAGATCCCTGAAATGCCTAGTTTTCACATTGGTGGGAACCTGGGATGAAACTGATGAAGAACCATTATTTCTTTCACACCATAGATCAAAATTATGTGAAGAACTTGATGGCATGGAGTGTTGGTGAAGAGTTTTTGAACACTCATTCATGGATGCATTTTGCATGTTACTTTGAACTTGTGACTTGCCTTCTTCTGCATGGAACAAGTCATCTACCATTTGGTTTATGAGTTGACCTGCATCAGGATCATGTCTTCCTGATGATGAGGCAGATACAGGAAATGAGAGAGATTTGACTCGTCTCAGTTGACCACTGTGAGATTGTTGAGTGTGGAATGGCAAAGGAGATCCTGGATCCTGTATATATTCTAATAGGAAGTCCTTGTTTGTGTTGATCAAATCCAATGCATCAAGAAAGTCCTTGAAAAGATGGGGTGAAGCATCAGTTGTGAGTATCTTTGCGTTCATTGACTTCTCTTCAGGGCCAGCTTGATTAGGAGAGAAGTGCTTATGAATCTTCCTATGTTCCAAGATGTCACTAGAGAACATTGTGCCACAATCTACACATTTGTCATGGTTGGAAATTGGTTTCTCAGAGAAAACTGGTGACAACATATCCAGTGTGCCAGCAGCAAGATGGTCTTGAAAGGTTCCTATGACTGGTTCAGGGCTCTCCACAGCTAGTAACAGTTCACTAAGTGGATCAACCTCCATGTTTTGAGAAGAATCAGCACGATTTAGGTTTGACTTTGCAGGGCAGGTTGAGCTTCTCTTGTGTCGACCCTTTTTGTATATATCATCATTAAGAAGTGATCTTAGTCGGGATCTGATAGAGTTTTTGGCTGGTGAACTGGAGTTTTCCAGTTTTTGTTCAACCTTCAAAACATTAAATTAGAAGTGACAATTTCACTATCTTCCCTTTATGAAATAATGTTTAAAACAATAAGTAACTAATCGGCAAAGCTAATACTACCTCCGTTCTTTTATAATAATTATTTAAGGTTGATTTACATAAATCAAGAAACATAATAAAAAAATTTATTTCTTATAGAATGATTTTTATGTTTTTTTATTATATCTTCTTTCATTTTTCTTCATAATAAATACATATTAATTGTTATGTGTAAATTAATTAAAAATTAGATGAGATGTAATAGTAGAATTGATAATACTGTAATTAATGTTTTCTTAAAATTTATTAATAAAAAATATATATAAATAAAATTTTACTAAAAATCCATCACATAAAAAGGATTACAAAAAATATTCCAAAGACTATCACTCGAAATGAAGTAAGAGCAACATAATAACAAGATAAACATTCTAGATGGGGGAGAAAACACTCAATAATGGATCAATGGTTGATAACTTGACACAGAAGTCACTAGCATTAGATAAGGCAAACAACAACACAAAATTACTGAAAGCAGCCAAAATATTCTTCTTTTTTTTTACTTACATTAGATAATGATGTTTGCGTCTTGTAATTTGCTGGCGTATGGTCAGCCCTAGAATCATCAGAAGTTCCTGGAATTTCAGCACCTGTAAAGTGAAAGAAATTGTGGCCTTTATGAAGTGGAAACAGAAATTGTGTGACCTATCAACAAAAACTGTGAGAATAAATAAACCAATGGTTTCATTTTTTTTATTTTTTGTATTTTTGCAGTGTCATAGGATATAGGAAGTTTTATCGTACACACGTTCGGCTATACTTTATGGTAGTGAATGTTGGACTTTATAAAGGGACAACATTGAGAAAAAAGATAATGGTTACAGAAATGAGAATGCTAATTAAGATGAATGTGTGGCTATCCAAAAACGAAAGGATATAAAATGATATGAAGAAAATATTGGTGTAGCACTGGTTGAGGAACAGATGAGAAAAAAAAATGGTTAAAATGGTTTTGACATTCATAATGAATGTCAATAGCTCTAGTGATGGAATTAGATTTATGGTTTTTATTCATGTAAAAAAGAAAAGGAAGACAAAGATGGACATCGAGGGAAGTTGTTAATAAATAACTCATCTTAACCAAGTTGAATATAAATATGTTTGGATAAACTCCTCTAAAAACATTTTTAAGAGTGTATAATAGAAAGAAAAAAGGAAATAAGTTTCTCTGTGTAAACTAAAATTAACTTATTCATAAATTAATTTATAGAAGTTTTCTGTTATTAACTTCTTCAAAATTTTGTTTTAAATCGATGCATAAGTGTTTGCTTATCGAGAAGTTTATTTTGATTTTTCTTCTTATTTTTCTCTCATATAAGTATTTTTGTAGAAATTTATTCAAATTAACAAATTTTATGTATAGTTGATCTCACCTAATGGGAAAAGGCTTTTGTTCTTATTGGTGTAGTATCATAGGCTATAATAGAACGGTACACTACTACACATGCACAAGTTTATACAGAGACAATATAATAAGAAACAATCCCCATATAGTTTGTTTGAATAAACCAAATATATATGTAGCACTATTAATGTGAATAGAACAAAGGGTACACTTACTTCCATCATGTCTTCCACAACCATGCCTTCTATGTGTAAGCCTTCTCTTGACCTGACGCCAATGTTGGTACTTCATAATATGAAGAATTCCCCATACTCGTCCTGGATGAGTATGAGGATGACCACTATGGCAATTTCCATTAGACAATGCA